TGATAAACTCATACGAATGACCCGTTGGCGTAATGAAGTAAAGAAGTGCGTGAACTCGATTATCACGAAATCGAGGATTACGCTTAATCCTCGACTCTTCCGCCAAAATATCATCATATTGTCTCTCTAGATAGCCCATAATTTCCTGAAAACTAATAAAACAATCTAAATCGGTAAAAAATAACATAGATAATATATATATATTTTTTTAAAGGAAAAAAAAAATATATATAATGTTACCAAAATTCATTATCTATATTATCCCCGAATCCAGGAGTATCCACAATTGTCAAAGCAATTCTGGCACCATCTTCATCCAATTCTGAAATGATTTATTTGGGAGCAATATATTTATATAAAATAGATCAACAAATTTAAAATGTAATTAATAAATAACTTACCAACTGTAACCGGTTTGATTCGAATACCCGCTTCTACATGTGCAGTTTCGGGGGTATCACACAATTTTTTGGTCAAAACTTCACTACCACAGAGGGTATTGACGAAAGTGGAACGGCCTGTTCCCGAAGCTCCTGAAATATTTAAACATAAATCATTATTATCAAAAAAGCAAATAACATTTGTACATAGAGGTCATCATTAAATACGTACCAACTACCATGAGGGTAAACTGAAATCCCTTTTTTACATTTTTTCTACGACCACCCGATCTCTAAACAAAATCAAACAAAATTTATTATTAAAAAAATCTAGCATTTTAAATCGAGTAAAATGATTTAAAATTTAAAGATCGGCATGACCTACATGAGACATTGTTTATTCGATAAATTTAAAGAAAGATACAGGAATGGAAAGAGAAAAGATCAAGTTGGTAAAATTGATGAAATCGAGACTTAAGAACAAAAAAGAATTTGCAGTAAAGCGGGTTATATGCATAAAGATTATTTGTACATATAAAACAGAGACATGATTAGTACCGAGTATTCAGTTTCACAAAGTTCAAAAAGTCGAATCAATTAATAACCTATCAGCATCAATGTTCAATTACACCAATAATTAAAGGAGAATAATATTAATTTCCTATCAAGAGTCTTTTTTTTCTAAGAATTTGCAGTAGTTATCTACCAAGTTCTAAACGAAGAATAAGTATTTTTTGTTAGGAACCTATATGGGCCTAGAAAATGATCTTGCCGACCACCCGCTAAAATATATGATTTAGTCATTCCTGAACCACTTTTCACAACGTTTTGATAGATCTTGTCAGCTTTTAACTATACTCTTTGCAAAATATTTGGACTCAGCTCGTCTGCGCAGACCTCATATGCTTGTTAATGCACTGCGATAATAAACATGAAATTCTGCATATTTATATT